GGGGGGGGGGGGGGGGGATGGATGTTTGTCATGAAAAGATAATTTGTCAGATTTTTAACAGCCATTTTTAAGATAATTTTCAACAGAAATTAAAAAAATGACATATTTCTCTATTTATGGTTTGTTAATCGTGGATATTCCATAAATTAAAGCACCTTAAAATTTGCTATGTTAGAACAATCTTCGACTATTTTCTATCTTAGATCTGCAGAGTTCTTAGCTTCTAGCTGGGATACGATGCAAGATGGGGCAGACGGAGGAACCGCCATGACAGATGTTACAGTAGACTCGTCAAGCCTGCCCCTGATAACCAATGAAAATGGAGACCAGGTGCTGCGGATGTACTGGCTGGATGCATACGAAGAAAGGAGTAAATCGGGTAGGGGGACAGATTTTTTAATTTCCTGCTCACCAGATTTTGTAGATCTGGATAATGTGTGGATTTATTATTCTTTTTCATGTTATGTTCATATCAGTATATGTATATTTAATATGTTCATACTGCTTTCAGAAATGAATTAGTGTTTATATGTTTAGAAAAAGATATGAAGGCTCTTAAATTTTCAAAAGAAATGTGAGAAGTATTAATGGAAAGATATGTCAAAAAATCATGTTACAACTCGTTTATCCTTACAATAATAATTCTATGCCTGCTACCCATATTCTTTCTGTTTTATCCTCCTATTCATTCATTCATTCATTCATTCATTCATCCATTCATTCATTCATTCATTTGCTAATTTTATGTCCAGGGACAATTTACCTGTTTGGCAAAGTTTGGATTGAGTCAGCTAAGACCCATGTCAGTTGCTGTGTGTGTGTCTCCAATATTGAGAGGCAAATGTTCTTCTTGCCCAGATCCACTGTAAGTACTCACTAGTTCTTAATGAATTCTGTAAATAGACTAAAGTCTCCTTGATTTATTCACCCAAAAAAGTTTGTTATAGAAAGGTGTAAGGCTTCCACATATCTGGATATTTGGGTTTTGTATTTATTCCCCTCAGTCCCCCCCCCCCCCAACCCCCACCTCCCCCTCTTTTATCTGTGTAAAGGTGAAAAGTATTCATTATGTTGCTAAATCTTGTAGTAAACACTATATCACTATTGGCAAGCAATGCTAACTCCTTTCCAAATTTTAAATATATTGACTTATCTTATTGTGTTTCCTCAGGAGGATGTGGGAAGCAAACAAATTATTATAATTAATAAAACAACATCTGCATTTTAAGTTACAGTTAGTTATCAGATGAGAACTTCTTGTTCTTTAAGTGTGGTTATATAATTATATTATTCAGAGAGTGAATTTGAAAACCGGCCATGACACAGGAGAGGAAGTGACGTTTGTTGATGTTTACAATGAGATCACCAAGGAGCTAAAGGACAAGAGGAATATCACCATGTTCAAATCCAGGGTAGGTACATTAAAGTGCAACTTATTATTATATTGTCCATTGATTCAGAAATTTGATTTCTTTGTCATAATTTTAAAGAACAACTTATAGTAGTAACTTATATTTTCTGACAAGTACATTAAAGAAGAAAAGTCTGATTCTTTTGATTTTTAATCAGTCTATTTTTAACCTTGCAATTCATAGGATTATGAAAGGGATAATGACTACAGCAACTGCATTTTAATCTGTTTCTATCTTTCCGAAAGTGTTATAATTGCTGCTTTGTCTATTTCAGAAAGTGACAAAGGAATACTGCTTTGAGGTGGCAGACATTCCAGTGGAGTCCGAATACATGGAAGTCAGATACAATGTAAGATTTCCTTGAACGTTATATCTTTGGCTATGGACACAATCTTAAAACATGTAGCAATGATTTGTGTTTCTGGTATCCGTATTTTTGTGTCTGCATACGAATGAAATTGTGGAACGGAAAATATAATGGTATTACCTGTTGATTTTTCCACAAATTTGCTTTTCTCATAGTTTGGCAGATTTGTTTAAACCGGCGGGTGTACCTTTTTCATTAGAGAATATTGCATATGATTTGCCCACTAGCATGATTAAGAACACTAAGTAATTTAAGTGAATTGAATCAAGTCTTTTATTTACAGTGTTGTAAACCAAGTAGAATGAAATGCTCTTTTTGTTGCAGGGTGCCAAGTTTCCAACCAGGATACCCCAGGAGCTGAAAGGAGAAACCTTCAGCCATGTTTTTGGCACAAATACCTCCTTGTAAGTTGATTCAATATGTTGAAGATTTCCTAGTATGGAATGCCCTGATTAATGTGATTTTTTATGTTTCTGCTAAAGTTCTATAAATGCAACCAGGTGTTATAGATGTTGCTGTTAAAGTCTCGATCTAGCAGTTATAAAATATGGATGAAAAAACTGAACATAGATAGTCACGGAAATTTTTTCCCCTTTTTTTTTTGCTTATTACCCTGAAATTGTCAGATGTCTGTGTAATGTTTAAACTGTACTTTGTGTTATCACCTTATTTAGAATTATGATTTAATTTTTTTCAGTCTTGAGCTCTTGTTGCTGGAGAGAAAGTTAAAAGGCCCATCTTGGATTGACATCAAGGCACCTCGTAAGTTAGCTGTACATTTTGAAATGTCTGATCCCAAGTAAGATTCAGAAGAATACATGAACATTAAGCAGACAAAAAGCTTAATGTGTTAATAGAAATCAAAAGTCTTTTGGATTTGTTTGGAAATCCAGATATTTGGATGTTGTATTTATTCACTCCCCATATATAGCTGTATGCCTTCGTGCTTACATTTTCAAAATTTTTAAAGGTCCACTTTCATCTCTGCATCATATGATGTCACATTTAGCATCGTACATTTGATTACTGTAACGATACCATGAAAGTCAAATAAATTAAATAAATGAATGAGTGAATAATCACATAATGTTTTTGTACAATTCAGAGATCATAAAAGCGCCTATGAGTTGGTGCAAAGTGGAGGCGGAGGCCGTTTCTCCAGATAACATTACTGTGGTGAAAGAAGCCTCTCCACCGCCGCCATTGGTTTCCATGACGATAACCATGAGAACCCTTCCAAATCCCAAGACGCACCAGAATGAGGTGAGATATTGCAAAGGCAATAAGTTTGTTTATTTGTTTATTTATTTATTTTGAAAGGAAAGTTGAATGGCATTTTTACATAAATAGAAAATAAACATAATTAAACATAGCACAGCCTATTCACTCTTACTTATGGTTTAGAATGGCAAGGTCCATATTGTAAAATGTTCATATCCAAGAGTTGGTATATAGTTATACCAGGCATGAGCTTTTTCCACAAAATCTCAGATTTCCGTAATTTTAATACAGTTGTTCCCACAATAAATGTTATAGAGATTTTTTTTCAATTACCCAGGTTCATTTCTGTTGTTGTACTTCAGGTGATAGCTGTGGCTTGTCTTGTCAACCAGCAATTCCAGATGGACAAACCAGCGCCCAAGACGCCATTTAATTCTCATTTCTGTGGTAAGTTTTTTT